GCCTACAGTCAATTCAGGATTTTTTAGATCCCTTTCCATGTTAAACTCAGGAAATTCATGCTCCATGCCTTCATCATTTGAATCATAAACTGGTTTAAGTATTTCATCATCACTAACATCTTCATCATCGACCAGTTTTCCATGACCTTTGGAGTTAAGGTATGCATTATATTCTTCACTAATCAGTGCCACATACTTATTATAATCAGTCTGTTTTAGGTGACAATCTACTTCACCACCATCCCTCTCTACATCATCTATAGGGTCACATGCGTCATTTAAATCATCCCCATCTAGGAAAAAATCAAAGTCAGAGTCATATTCAACTTCCCTACAACCATCCCTATCACCTTCTTGTGAAGCATCTGAAGCATCACTTTCGGCCTCATCATTTTGGGGTTGATCAGCATTAGGATTTAGATTTTGTTTTCCATTAACCTCAATATTATCCTCTGCAACAGTTCTATCAGCATGCAAATCTTCTTCAGGGATCTCACCAACATAAAGTTGTATGATGTTTTGAGTTCTATTTACCTCAAACATTTCTATAACAATCTGGTCACTGTTTAACAGTTTAAGACCAACGTTAAAGTCAAGATTCCTAACCCTATAGTACACCTCTGTTTCATGTGATATTCCAGCATCTTTAAAAGCATCTCTTAACTCAAAAATTGACATCAAATCAGGGTCAACATCATCAAAATTAGCAACTTCTCCCCCCACATACTGTAAATTTGGGACATAGGCAAAATGGCCTCCGTAGTGAACCTCTAAAACATAGGTTTTGAAGTCCATTCTTCTGTAATCACACAAAGGTAATTGTTTTTAGTGCATGCACAGGTAATACAGAGCAAGTATCTTTTATTGTCCCACAAAAATAAAAAATCCTAGTTTGTCTATCTAATAGCCAACATATAACCATCCAAATAAACAAAAAATCCAGCAAATTAATAATTAAAAAAGACAAACCCATCGTTTTCCATCCTAACCCGACAATGACTTGTTATGAACTTTAAGGGACCACACTAACAGATTTCAAACAAATAATTGTCTACATATTAAAGCCCATGCAGTCATTAAAAAAACCCATACCATTGTTTCTGTGCAATAAAATTGATTAACAATTAGAAATTTCTAAAATCGAGAAAAAATTGCAAAATCGAACCTCATAGATCTGCCCAACCTCTCATAATCTCCTTTCACAATCTTCAAATTCAATTCTGCCGTCTGTTAACAACCACATCAATTACCCATTTTTTCATTCAAGATTGCACCAGAATTTTCAATTTTGTTAGTGGACGTTTTGCTAAGGCTTCGGGCACCAGTGAAGAGAAAGTAACCCGACAAAGAAAAAAAGGAAGAGAAAGTGACCCGACATAGTCAAAAGGGGACCTTTGTCTGTTCTGTTCCCTAATTTCTTTTTCTTTTTCTGTCCCATGCCAGATGGAGGGAAATTTCCCTCCATTATTTCAGGGTAATTTTGGAAACTTGCATTTCATAAACCAGCGTATATGGGTATTTTGGGTTGTTCAATGTTTTCATAAGGATATTATTGTCTTTTCAATATTTCGTTTATGTCAATTAGAGTTGACTGTTAGTTTTTGGGGTAGACTGAGGAAAAATAAACGTTGGGGGGTAAAGTGAGAAACGGCCTATACTTAAAGGGGATAAAGTGCGATTACCCCTATTAATAATTGTAGATTGGCTAATCTACAATTTATTCATCGCCACGTGTATGCTTACGTAATTTTTTTAATTATTTTTTTTACACCTTCTAATAAGTATGCATAACATATTATTTTTCTCAAATATTGTTTTGCTTGTATCATGATTACAATTTTCAATCAATTTCTTAATTTTTTTAAAAATTTTGTTTATTTTACTTAGATCACATGATAAAAAATATTACGGTAATTATTTTAAATAATATTTTGAATAATCTCGTGTCCAAATTCGATGAACATTCTACTTTTATGCTGAAGATTGCTGTCAATATCAACGGCCTCAAAATTCTTGGGATGGAACAAGAAGATGAAAAAGTTTTACGACTTGTTCAACAACGCAACGGATCTTCTGTACCACACCCTGTCTCACATCCTGTTCCACTCCTTAAAATCTCGCCAAGTGTCCCTTAATAAACCAAACCCTCAAACAACTCAACTCAGACCATATTAAGTTAATTAATCGATTAATCGGACAAAGAAATTTAATCTCTTTAACCAATATAACCAAAACCAAGAAAAATAAAAACTCTTTAACCAAAATCACAATTTTTCAACGGAAAAAAACCCTAAAATATTAAAAAACCTCTGTCCGAGTTCATAATCTTCACCATTCAGCTTTGACGAAATATTCACGGATAAAACTTCGAAGCTCTTCCCAAAGGTCCTCTGTCCTCTTCATCATCTCTTCCCATGAGAAATAACTTTTTTACGAGGATGAGATAAAGCTTCGAAGCTCTTCCCAAAGGTGAGAAACAAATATTTAGTTTTAGTGTAAATTTGTACTGGGTAATGGGTACTTCCGCTTCCGAAGTTTTGTTTGAGCATGCGATTTAATTTTGCTACCTCCAGAATTTGAACGGTTCCGATAATCTTTGCAACTTTTTTTTAAAAAATAATTTGCTTTCAGGGCATTTTCTTTCTAGCTACGCAGGCCAATTTGATGTAATTTGCTAAGCTTAGGCACTTAATCTAGTTTTCAACTTCAAATCGGTATAGATACACACCGTTGAATTAGTTTTGCTATATCCTCAACTGCATGTGTGTAGTAGTAAGAAATTGGTTATATTCTCTAGTGTCTCTGTTTTAGTGTTTTGGAACTTAGGTGTAGATGATGAAACTAGAGGGTAACAAGTTTGCCTTTATCTTTTGCTGATTAAGGGAATTTTTCTTCTAATTTGCAGCTTCCACTCCAAATGTTTCATCTGTTAAATTTTCTGAAAATTCGGTATGTACTGGACGAAGCTCACCAGCTGTTCGATCAAATGCCTAAGAGGAAGATGAATCAAACTATAAGGTAAAAGTCTGACTTGGTTGAGCCCATATTTATTAGGAGGGTGTTTTGCGTTTTATACGTTTGATTTTGTTTATTAGGACTACCTGTAGGCTTGTAATTAGTAGTTAGAAAATATGTTAAAGTTTGCATGATGGTTACTTTTTTGTGCTGGCACATGCGATCCTTGTCTCCCTTCTACTCTTTCGTGTCGCAATTTTATTTGATGCATTTGATAATTAGTCCATGAGTTGAAATTTTTATCAAATGCTGATTCATAATCTTAGATTAGTCGTAGTATTATTGATCAACAATGAATGGATGGTCTTTGATTCATAATCTTGATTAGTCGTAGTAGTATTATTGGTCAACCTGCTGGTTTCATTTGGGAAATCTATCTCTGTCTTTGGCAGATGAGATCATCTAAAACCTGATAAGGCCTAAAGGTAAGTGCTTCTCAAAAAAAAGCTCTTTTTTTTATTCTGTAACTATGAATTAAAGCCAAGAAACATGTGTGATCACTGTTTTCTCAAATGGTTTTCTGGTTTTGGTCTATATGGATAGAGGTGCCATCTTGACATGCATTAGTGTGACTAGTTACAGGGTTTATGTATTCATTCACTTCATTGTTACTGTTTACAAAGTTCAATGTTTATGAAAATTATGTAACTTAGATAATTGTAATCTCTTATTTGCAGAATGTTATGCATAATGAAGCTTCAATCATGTAAAGCTTGTAACTTTTTCCCTAATACTGCAGGGGTATCTGATATGATGATAGGTTTTTGCAGTCAACTGGAACTGATTCGTGTTACTGCATCTGAGACTATGGAAGCCTATATCATTCTGTGCAACCTTGATGATGGACAAGAAGAGCAGGAGAGGAAAAGGTTCTTGCGTGGAGGAGGAGGAGGAGTGGGGTAAGGCAGAGCCATCAACTCTCAAGAATTCGCCGGAGAACAAACTAAGGGAGGCTCTCGAGGAGGCTTCTGAAGATGGGTCACTTCGTAAAAACACATGAAATTCACTCTGAGTCTTTGAATCAAGATGGCTGCTTGGGAAGGTCAATATCTCTTGCAAGGCTTAATGCCCAGAAGGAATTCTTGAGGGCAACTACTCTTTTGTCTGAAAGGACATTTTGCATTGAAGAATCCATTCCTGGCTTTAATGAAGCCTTCTTGTTGGTTCTTGACTTTGTACCCAAAGTTCCAATGTTGAGAAACAATTGACCATTTGAGAATTGACTTTGTACGGGTTGTTTTCTTGTTTTCAAACGCTACAGTATTGGGATTCATCTATATTTAGCTTAAAGGAAATTACTGCAAATTTGAGCAATCATGTACTTCATTGGGGTGCAGAGGAAGGTACTGTGGAGCATGATATTAAAACCAAAATTATGGATTACTTGAACATTCTTGAGAATGAGTTTGTACTTGTTTTTACTATTAGTAGAGGATCTGCATTTAAATTGTTGCTGAATCTTATCCTTCCCATTCGAACAAGAGGCTGTTGAATATGTTTGACCATGAGAGCCAGTCTGTGAGTTGGATGGCTCAATGTGCTAAAGAGAAGGGTGCAAAGGTGTACAGGGCCTGGTTTATGGACATATTTCGGGAATTTCAGCATTGTTATATGGATTATATATACAATTTGGTGTCAACAGTCAAATACGAGATTGGTCCCGAGTTGTTTAGAATCAGAGAACAAGTTTTCGGAGTACCTTGGTAAGGTTATAAGCTTTAGTTGTTTGACTTGTGAGTCTAAGGATCAATCTTAAGACAAGCCTCTCTCCTGCAGAATAAAGTCCGATGCAAAATCTTACTGACATTGAAAAAATAGCGTGGTAGCTCAAACATTAAAGAAGAAGAAAAAAAAAAGGAACGAAAATGCAGCTTTATTTTGCTGGTTTTCTCTAATTTCTGTCTACTCAAGTTACAAAATTAATCTAAAAGCCAAACAAAAATCTGGGTTTTCTTATTGTATGGTTAAACAAATGCAAAGCTGAGGAACATTCAAAAGACGATTTCTTGTATGCATCAAGAATCCAGGGCAGCTCAACTAATATATCTCATGTTCTACAGTTTAGTCAGAAGAACGTTTATTAACAGATATTTGAACAAAAATATCAAAATCAATAAGTATAAGCACAAAGTATTATTCCACTTAAAGGTCTAATTAATCCATGAGCGCAATCCCACAGTCTTGTCCTCCATTTCTTCATAAGCATCTTCATTCAATTTTCCCATTTTCAACAACTTGTTGATCAGAATCATCATTATTTTCAAGTTCTTGCGCCTACAAAAACAGACCCAAAGTTAGCAAATATATTGAATTATAATTGTAAATTATCAAACTAATATATATAAGATTAAATAATTAATCAAGGTTTTTCCTTACTTGGACAAAACTTATTGATGCATGCTGTTGTGCTATTGAACTTGAAGACATCAAATCATAGCCTTGGTAGAAGTTAGGGTCCAACGTCTGTCAGAAAAATAAGACCAAACTAAAAATCCTAAAAATTTCTCAAACTGGAATAAGACCAATACTATTCATCCATCAATCAACATGCAACTGAAGAACATTACAGCCCTATTTGCATGAATACAAATTCCCTGGAAAAAAGTTGCCATGTTTGTTCCTAAACAACGGCTAGGAATAAAAAGAAAAAATGTCACCTTGCAAAGATCCAGAAAAAAAGTGGAGAAGATCTTGAACAAAACCAACATATTCACAACTGCTATGTAAGAATTTGTATTTAGACATCTACTCCTAAGGTTACATAACCTTTGTAATTTTTGAGAATAATGCAGCCACAGGAAAATGGGAAATCAAAAACACAAAAGTAAAAAAAAATGTCCAGAATTGAGAAAAAATTACTCAACATGTTGAGATATATTGCTTCTTATTACTTCCACAAAATTTATAACAATGTTTGAACCTCAAGTGCAGTATAATGAGAAGAAAGGCATTTAAGATCTGCAAAATATCAATTATAGCCTGTTTTGGTCCATTGTTAAATCATGCTCATTGTTCCATCACTTCACTTCTTCTTGCTTTTTCCCAATGTACGAATTTGGTTACATTTGAATCACCTAGAAGACTTTTTTCAGAAGAAGTGGAAATTTCTGGCTATTGATCAATGGGCTTTCCTTAGTGTTTTCTGCGCTTCATTTTGCAAGGCAGAGTGACTAAATAATCCAACGTTGTCGCTTTCGTGTAACGTGTTTTACTTTTATCAGGTTCAGGATTGAATGCCAGCAGCACATATTTTGCTCCTCAACAAATTAAATTTCCAAAAAAAAAAAATAATGTAAACTCGACCATATTTTTTTTTTCTCTTTTAAAAGCTTGATCACTTTTTCTCAGAGTTTATAGAGTTTTCAATATTGCACTCCATTTTCCTTTCTAGCAAGATGAAACTAGAAAAAATTGAGAACACAGAGCTGATTGGAGGAAAAGAAAGTTCGAGACGAACCCAAAAAATCTGCTACGGAAAACATTGATTGAAACAAATGAAATATGAAAATGGCAATTTATCCAAATGGCACATATTTAACATTTGAGGGAAAAAAAGGTTAAAATGGTAGACAACATTTGAAGTAGAGGTTTTGCTCTACTAGCAAAAATATGGGCGCAACCAAGTCAGACTTTTACCTTACAGTTTGATTCATCTTCCTCTTAGGCATTTGATCGAACAGGTGGTGTGCTTCGTCCAGCAGATACCGAATTTTCAGACAATTTAACAGATGAAACATTCAGACTGGAAGCTGCAAATTAGAAGAAAAATTCCCTCAATCAGCAAAAGATAAACGCAAACTTGTTACCCTCCCAAAATCATCTACACCTAAGTTCCAAAACACTAAAACAGAGACACTAGAGAATATAACCAATTTCTTACTTCTTCCCTGCAATTGAGGATATAGCAAAACTAATTCAAAGGTGTGTATCAACAGACCAATTTGAAGCTGAAAACTAGATCAAGTGCCTAAGCTTAGCAAATCACATCAAATTGGCCTGCGACGAGCTTGGAAGAACCCCACCAAGGTTTTTAAGAAATAACTTGTTTCTCACCTCTGGGAAGAGCTTCGAAGTTTTATCCGTGAATATTTCGTCAAAGCTGAATGGTGAAGATGATGAACTCGGACAGAGGTTTTTTAATATTTTAGGGTTTTTTCCGTTGAAAAATTGTGATTTTGGTTAAAGAGTTTTTATTTTTCTTGGTTTTGGTTATATTGGTTAAAGAGATTAAATTTCTTTGTCCGGTTAATCGATTAATTAACTTAATATGGTCTGAGTTGAGTTATTTGAGGTTTGGTTTATTAAGGGACACTTGGCGAGATTTTAAGGAGTGGGACAGGATGTGAGACAGGGTGTGGTACAGAAGATCCGTTGCGGTTCAATAATCAAAGATTAGCTCTTAGATTAGTGGGTCGTGGCGCACTCCTCCGATTTGATGTGCCGTGGTGCACTCTAAGATTAGGGTTCAAATCTTATCTTGGATTTGAACTCCCGTGACTCGCTCGGGGTCGTTGCGTGGGGCCGTGGCACACTCCTCCAATTTGGTGTGTCGGCTCGGGTCCTAAGGGTTCGAGTCGGTCATGTTCCGGTTACCAAAAAAAAAGATTAGCTCTAAGTGCCGATTCCTCGGCTTCATTTCATCGTATGGACTTTTCGATAAAACTTGTGTTATCTTCCGCATCGTTCACTATTTAACCGGACTGGACAATCTTCTCATTTCTCATTTTATACGAAAACAATTAGATTTGCCAGCTGCAGAAAACATTTACCCTGGCCCTTTTTTTTTTTTTTTTGGGGAACTGGCCTCACGATTTTCCCTCCTAAATCTGGTAATATTTCCTTCTTCAAAAAACAAACTTTTCTGCAGCTGTCACCATAAGGGAAAAATGCACTTTTCATCCTCAAAGTTTGGGTTGTTGACCAATTTGACCTCAAAGTTTCTCCCAAAACACATTTCATCCTCAAAGTTCCGTAATTTTGGCCAATTAAGGACAATTGACGGGAATTTGCAAATTTATCGTTAGAACCAACTTTAAACCCAACAAAAAATGGGTAAAACCGAATGGAGCCATTTTTTAACAGAACAATAATTTGCAACGGACAAAAACCAACATTCTTCTCTTTCTTCCCTCTACCTTCTCCCCTCTGCCTTTCTGCAACCCCAAAATTTTTTGTGCAGCTTCAGCCCAAGATTGCATCTCCTGATATGCATCACACAAATGCAGTAACCACATTATATAAAGATCTGGAACGCCTTCTGTAATTTTAGTAGTATTGTCAAAACACTAGCGTATTATTACTTCCTTGGTGATCTTTACTGAAGTTAGGGGCATCATGCAGGAAGTTAAATCCTTTTCGTGTATATATGCTAGTATTATATTTATATCTGGTACTCTTCTTTTTGGAGTTACTATTGTACTAGTCCCTTTAGAGCTGAACAGTTCATAAAATAGTTTAACCCTATGGAAAGCTTGCCTGGCTTCTTTTACAGAGATCCCTTATGTGAAGTAGAATTTAGTTACGAAACAATATGCAACTTCAACTCGCCTCCACCATGCATTATGCATAGGTAATAGGGTAAGGATATAAGGGGCCAGAAATTGGGGCCATTGGTTTGAATTCAACAGCTATCATATACAAGTTACTAGGTTTCGAATGCATTTGTTACTTAGCATCCCCTGAAGACGATAGCATACATTGTTGTTGCAACAATTTTCTTCAATCTTCTGATTGGAGCAGTGTAGTATTATTCATGCTCATTGCTCTGTATGTGGTATCATCACAGCGAACTGCACATTTAGCTGACTTGGTAAGTTAAAAACCGAAGCAAAAGCTTCCATCGTGAATAGCAATGTATAGCACATCACTCAACCCAGCAATTTCCAACTCAAATATTACTGGTTCTTGGGGGAGGATGTCCACTTAGAAATGCTTTGAAAAGTGTGAGAGCTTGGGAGGGAGAAGTGAAGGGGACTTCATGGGCTATTCCCTTAACGGTAGCATATGTCAAGTGTGTATTGTTTTTACTGTTCTCTAATCGACCAAATGATTGACTTCAGCCCCCAACCTGCAGGAGCAAAGGCCAATGCAAGTTTGTAAAAGCCCTCTGCTGCTGCATTTCGATCCACAGTCATAATAGATGCCTAGAAGATTTTTTTATTAATACCATATATTAATAAAAATTCATCATGCATATTATATGTGGTAGGATTGATCATAACATCAAATATACCAGAAGCGCATGTTCCAAGCTAGCATCAAAAGCCAAAAAGAAGGCTGTCAGCAAGATATTTGACCTCAGTCCAGGACCAATGGTTCTCTGATAAATTTTGAGGAACAAAGACAAGTGAATTATCTGGAAGACCACAATCATTTAACAAGTTAGGACTCTTAGATTCATCTACCATTCCCCTCAACGATATTCTAAGAGCGCTTCACCACTTTCTTCAAGTGTTCCATCAGATTTCATCTGAGTCACTTGAACTTCAGATATCAATTCAGAAAGAGTAATAGTTACCATGACCCTTAGCCTAGCTGTTTGCGTGAAGTAGGAGAAAGAGCTCTACAACATGAAAAAGCTAAACTTTACTCAACATGTCAAGAAGCATATTTACTGCTGGAGCCATATAACTATCCTAAGTAAATCAGTAACTATACCCGGACAAGTATATGTAGGCCAGTAACAGCTCTTTTCCTGATACTGTCATTCCAAAAAACTGCAAGACGAAGAAGATGAAAAGCAACTTGCTTCAAGAATCGATCATTTTCCCTTGCCATTAGTGTTGCTCCATGGAGTTCAAAGACACTGTTGAACACAGGGAACAGAGCTTTCCAGAATGCCAGGGGTTGATTACGAGAGAAGACATTCATAAATATAGAATTCAGGCAGTCAAGTTTCCCATAATCAGTAGCGATGCTGTGGGATGCAGCAGTTCTTGAAAATTTCTCAGCTATTTCCAGAACTTGAAGACTGACAGCCGCACTAAGGTTTTCTTCCCAAAGTTCCTAAAAGAATGGAGAAGAAAGAAGGAGAAGAATGGAGCTTTTCCCTTTTGCTATTTTCCAAATTTTCGTTCGTTATAAAAAGTGGCTTCATTCGGTTTGACCCGTTTTTTATTGGATATAAAGTTGGATCTGACGGAGTGTGCTTCTCACGTGCAAAGTTCCGTCCAAATTAAATAATTATTCTTCATTTCCCGTCAATTGTCCTTAATTGGTCAAAATTACAGAACTTTGAGGATGAAATGTGTTATGGGTGAAACCTTGAGGTGAAATTGGTGAACAACCTAAACTTTGAGGATGAAAAGTGCATTTTTCCCGTCACCATAATGTAGAGGTGTTCACATTCTTAGAAATTGAAAACTAATTCGACAAGAAATAATTGTAGCGGCAACTACTTTATTGTCAAAGATGTAATCATGCTTGGCATCAGATTAATTAATTAATGCTTTCTCATTTGGCAATCCAAAAGTTAAACTTGTGATGATTGCATGCTTAATATATAGTGTTAAGATAAGCCAAATAAAATGAATACTTTTTCGGTGAGATGAAGAATGAATATCAGATCGTGACTCACGAGTATTGATTACGGTATGAAATTATAGAATTTGCTTGAATTGTTATTTTTTAGAGTTTTTTTTTTAAGAAAAATATATTATAGCGATTGATGGAACAAGAATATTAAACAAGATGAAAAATGAATATCAGGTCGTAACTCACGAGTATTGAACATTCTTGTTTTATGGCTGAAGATTGCCGTCAATATCAACGGCTGATGGAACAAGAAGAAGATGAAAAGGTTTTACAGATTGTACAACAACTGAGGATTAGCGCTCAGTGCCGATTCCTCTGCTTCATTTCATTGAATTGACTTTTCGATAAAACCTGCATTATCTTCAGTACTTCGTTCATTATTTAATCGGACTGGACTATCTTTTCATTTCCCATTTTATATGAAAACAATTAGATTTGCCAGTTGCAAAAAACATTTACACTGGCTTTTTCTTTTCTTTTCTTTTGAGAATTGGCTTCACTATTTTCCCTCCTAAATCTGGCAATATTTCCTTCTTCAAAGAACAAACTTTTCTGCTGCTATCACCATAATATAGAGGTGTTCACATTGTTAGAAATTAGAAACTAATTCGACAAGAAATAATTGTAGTGGTAACTACTTTATAGTTGATGAGTACAATATAGATAGAGGTGTCAACGGGTTGGGTTTGGACTAGAATTGAAAATTCCGGACCCAGACCCGAACCGACTTGTATACTCGACGGGTCTTGACCTTAGAGTTCTGGAATCCGATCAGACGGGTTCGAGTCGGGTCCAGATCTAAAAGGTTCAAATTTAAATATTTCAAAATTAAATGCAAAATCAATCACAAATCCAATCTCCAAATTTAAACAAATCAAATTACAAAGCTAAATTATAAATAACTCGCAATAGTCAATGCAAAACTAATTACAAATCAATCTACTGAGTCATTACTAAATTGTTAGTTTGGTAAAAGAATATATTTAGAATTATTTATATTTTATAATTATTAATATATTGTTCGAATCTGGGTCGAATACTGGTCGAAATCCTATATTCCATATCCGATCTATTTTTTTTGCTAGAGTAAATGGGTCCGGATCCGAATTCGTGTATCAAAATTATTTTTCAACCCAAACCCGAAAAAATTTATCGGATCTGGGTCGAGTCCGGGTCCAAACCCAACCCGTTGACACCCCTAAATATAAATATTGTCAAAGATGTAATCATGCTTGGCATCAGATTAACTAATTAATGCTTTCTCATTTGGCAATCCAAAAGTTAAACTTGTGGGGATTGCATGCTCAATAGATACTGTTAACATAAGCCATATAAAATGAACACTTTTTCGGCACCATAAAAAATGAATATCAGGTCGTGACTCACGAGTGTTGATTACGGTTTGAAACTATAGAATCCTGTTGAGTTGCTATCATTTAGAGTTTTTTGTTTTATAGAAAAATGTACTATAGTGATTTCATATATATGAAATAAAAAGATAATTGAAAAATATGTTCACCGAA